CAGACCCCCTCGCGTCGCGAAGAGGACACGACGTATGGTGTTTTGCAACGTTCGGCCTTCCGGGGCCCTCGACGGGCCCCAGGACTGTCAGAAGACGACTCGGGGCGAAGAGAGCCGGCCCTGGGGAGGTTGTCCAGACCTCTGGGTGCCCGCGCGTCGGGCACACTTTCGGGCGCTGCATTCTCTTCATGCCAGGTGCTTTCGCCCGCTTCGGGCGCCGGGCGTAAAGGTGTTCGGCCGCGCTCGTCGGCCTATAGAGGTGTTCGGCCGAGCTGTTCGGGCGCGGGCCACTCCGGACTCGATCCGTTCCTCGCCGTGCGCCGTCCCCTCGCCTTTTGTCTCCGCCTTGCACTGGTCCTCCTCCTGCTCCTCCCCCTCCGGGCCGCTCGGCGGAAAATTGCCATGTCTGAGGTGTTCGGCCGTGCTCGCCGCCCCCCCGCGGCGTCCAGCCTCGAGGTGCCCTGCGGCAGCTGCGCCTCGCCGAGAGCGCTCCGGGGCAAAAGATCGTCCCGAAGGGCCGCCGGGGAGCCGACAGTTGTGACCCGAAAAACTACGAAAGGGGGGGATCGGGAAAATCAGCTACGTGAGCTGATTCTCCCCCCCCCCCCCCTTTGCCATCCCCCCTTTCGCCCGACCCCAAAAACCCAGGGGACAACGTTGGGCGGAGGGGAGCAGCAGAAGGCGGGGCCCAGCCTGAGAGCCGGGGGTTGCAAGTGTGTCACACCTTGGGAGCCTTGGGACGTGGGTCAATGCAAACGGGGGCCGGTCAGAGAGCCGATCTCGCAGGACCCTGCAGAGTCAGGGGTGCATCGACCCAGGCTTGTGTGCAGGATCTCACAGCATCTTGCAAAGCTTGACTGACCCGGGTCTGGATTGACCCGGGTCAGTAGATCCCCGAACACTGGGCGTCTTCGCCCAGTCTCGTGCCCCGGGACCCTCAGAGATCGATCCGGCCCGAGAAATGCCGCAGAACGCCAGGGTCTTGGGCTCGGGCCACGATTTTTCGCTACAGTCGGGGCCCTGAAGAAGGAACCCTTTTGGTTGGGGAGGGGCTCCACGTTCCTTAAGTGTTTCACAGCTTGCCTCAGGTTTTCCTTATGTTTTCGATCGGAAATCGAAGTTTCACTCATGGAAAAAAGGGGGCCTCGTTCCTTATTTAGGGTTCCTTAGGTCAACGCCACGCCCCGACTGCACGTGTTTGGAACTGTCTGGGCCACGCGAGTAGGGGCTGGGGAGGAGCCGGGGGGCAACGCCAGGCGGAGGGAGCCAGGCTCAGAGGGGGCGCATCGACCCCCTAGTCGCCCGTTCATTGCCGATGGGGGCCCGGCAGCCCCCACCCCGCCAGGACCGCGTGGACTCACTCACGTAGGCCTATCGCCAATCCATCGGCGATGCATCGCGACCGCCGACGCCAGCTCTGACGCTAGCGCCCGCACCCACGCCAGCCCCAAGGCCGACGCCGAGGAGGACGAGGCAGCAGCGGACGAGGCAGAGGATGAAGAGGAGGACGAGGAGGAGGATGAGGAGGAGGAGGAGGTCCCCCCCAGCTTTGCCCCTCAAGAGGGGGGGGCCGAAAGGAGCTGCTGGCGGAGGCCACGAAGGAGGCCCGGACTAAGGGACCGGAGGCGGCGACGCCCAGGACCGGCAGCGCCGGGAGCAGCAGCCAGGCCGCCGAGGACCTCAAGGCCATGGTCACCATGGCCCGCGATTATCTCATCCACAAGAGAGAGGCCGTGCAGCTGCTGAACAGCAAGCAACTTGTTGCCATCCTCAGGGACCAGGGCATGAAAGAACCCATCAAAGCCATGCAGGGCACGTGGCACAAGAACTGGAAGGAGCTCAAAGCGATCAAGACCGAATCTGAGAAGAGTAAGAAGTCCGGCTCGGCCCCGGAGTTTGGATACCCGTCTAATAAGATTTTCATGTTTGCTTGTTTCATGTTTTTTAAGCTCGACAAGCGCATTGTCGACTGCATAGAGGACGCAGAGGGCGACAATCTCAAGGCGAGGTTCATCTCGCTCCGCGACGTTGTCCAGACCCTGGAGAACCTGCCCGCGGACGTCGTGGACGTGTCGGTGGGCACGTTCACCTCGAAGCACGCCACGCCGATGGCGGAGCGGCCGTGGTTGTGGACGCTGACGCTCACGGACCTGGCTGGCGACCCCTTCAAGCAGATGCTGCTTAAGGGCATGCCGCTACTCACCAGGGATGGCCCCGTCGAGGTGGCCCTCCGGCGCCAGCACGCCACGAACAACGAGGAGGAGCTATGGGACTACGTGAAGAAGCAGCCCAGGCCGGCCTCCTCCGGGGGTAAGGGCAAGGGCAAGAGCCGGCGCGGCCCCAGGCAGCAGTGAAGCATGTGGCGGGGCCCCGGGGTGCCAAGGGCGTAGGCCTCCCTGAGGGCCTCAACGACGCGGGGCGCCCTCACGAGCCCAGCGCTCGTTTTTTTCAGCCGGGTGCTGGACGTGGCGGGGGCGTCGTCCTGTCTTCGTCCATGATCTCGCACACGGCAGGGCGGACACCGCAGGCCACGAGCTCTAATTCATTTATTGCATTTCTCCATGGACGGAGCAAGGATGACCAGAGGATCGGGCTCATGTTTGACAGTTTGATGATCGACATCTACATGTACTTTGTCATATGTTGTTGCTTCATCACGGTCTTTGAGCAGTACCTTCAGTGTAGCACCGACGGCTTCATGATCAACGTATACAGTTTGTCATATTTGTTGTGTCACTATGGTCTTTGAGCAGTGCCTCCAGTGCAACATCAACGGCTCCAGGATCGACGTAAGCATTTTGTCATGAATTCTTGTGTCATCGGGGCTATCGAGCGGCACCTCTGGGGCGACATCAACGGCTTCGTGATCGACATATACATGCACGTTGTCATAATTTGTTGTATCATCATGATTATTTGAACAGTACTTCGGGTGCATTTCCATCCGCAACCACAGGAGGACAACACGAACCTGGACAAGGCGCAGTCCTGCTCTGGCCCCTCAAGGAGAAGTGCGGGGACGGTGTGAGCTGGGCGGACCTGATCTCGCTGGCCGGCACGCAGACCCAGTTGGCGAGCGGCATGCCCTTCAAGGAGTTCAGCTTCGGTCGCCTCGACGATGAGGACGGTGCGAAGGGCCTCCCGCTGGGGCCCGGCGAGATGCAGGAGGAGATGGCGCCCTGCACTGGTCCCGTGAATGGGATGTGCCAGATGTACCCGAACGAGAGGATGCTCGCGCCGACGACGGTCGGACTGATCTACGTGAATCCTGGGGGCCCGACGGGAAACCCAGACCCCGTGAAGAGCGTCGACGAGATCTGGGTGGTCTTTGGCAAGATGGGCCACAACGACAAGGCCACGGCCGCCCTGATCGGCGGCGGCCACGCCTTCGGCAGGTGCCACGGGGCATGCTCGAAGTTCGAGCACGGGGAGCCGGCTGGACTGCCGCCCGTAACACGACTTTCGCGGAGGGCACTTGCCCTTCCGTGGGCGAGTGCCCCAACCTCGACGGCGAGGACGCGGGCATGGGAAACGCCACGTGGACCAGCGGGTTCGACGGCCCTTAAACGAGCACGCCAACGCGGTGGTCCAACGAGTACTTCTCGGATCTCTTGAATTACGAGTGGGAGCCGTGGTTGGGCCCGGGCGGTGCGATTCAGTGGCGAATGAAGGAGAATCTCGGCGACCCGCGGATGCGCCTCACAACCGACACTGCCATGATCAAGGATCCGGTGTACTTGAAGTACGTCGAGCTCTTCGCCAGCAACATGGCTGCGCTCAACGAGGCGTACGACTTCCCCTGGACGAGTTTGATCAGCAATGGAGGTGGCTGGTCAACAAAGAAGATGTGCGCGCCATGCGGCCCCCCGCCCGTGCCTGGCGCGACAACGCCGACCTCGATGCTCAACACGGACCCGCGCTGAGGGGTCGGTTGGGTAGCCCAAGTGAACTGCCAAAGACGACCATCGGGATGCGGTGCACGATACTCGCGCGGTGAGAAGCCAGGGCAGCGGCTCCTCGGCGGTGCCGGTTCAAGAAGCCAGGCCGATTGCCCTAGCACGGTTCTAAAACACCAGAGGAATTCGCGCATTTCGCCAACGCAGACATTTGTTGTTTCAGTGTTGTTCGCTTTACAGTATGCGTCAGTTGGCCTTCCCCAGCCCCAAGGGTTGCATCAACTGGTTTAGTGTGTTCGCACCAAGAGCTGTGGGGCGGCGACGTACACGGTGTATTTGTGGCTCCACAGCTCGGCATCTCGAAATCTTAACTGGAGCAGTGCACATACGTGAAACGCGAATAAACAATGCCCTGCTGCTCCACACGGGCTGCTGAAATGAGCGCCGCCAGGTACTGAGGAATTCTTGGAGTGCATGCTGAACCAATCTTGTTATGACATCATTATCGCCGTGGGTATGAGGGAGCCTCACGCCTGGGTGATCCAAAGGGGCCGCCCTCAGTCAGCGCAGCCAACGGAGATCATAATAGCACCTGAGGGGGTCTCGAACGAGAACCGCATCTTTCAGATACAGCCCTCGTTCCATGCTTGGAGACGGTGGAGATTCCAAGCTGTACGGATGTGAAGCGTGATGACGTCTTAGGCGGCAGCCGCACGTCCATCAAGCTACGGTTACTCATCCGGGTGGCGCTTGGACGTGTTCAAACGAAGTTGCGTGGCGCACTTGGGAGAGCCGTGTTTTGACAGCGGCCCACCCTCCGCCCGTGTAGTTGTTGGAAGTTGTGGGACACACTTGCGCGGCGCTCGTTCGAGAGTTACACCTTGAAAACGAGTCAACATCATTCGTCTAGTTGTTGGGAGCTGTTGGAACGAATTCGTGCGGCGCTCGGGCGAGAACAGCTGGGAAACCAGCCGCCATCCATCCGTGCAGCTACTGCAACTTCAGGCTCTGAGATACTACACTGCAGCATCCTCGGGCGAAGCGTCAGGAGCACGCTGCGGACGCGTCTGCTCGTGCGACGGGGAGGAGCTATTGATCATGATGGGGTGCAGGATGCAGGGGAGGAGGAGTCCCCCCTCCTCCGCCGACATTTCTTTTCGCGATGTGCTCCCCCCCTCTCCCAGTCCCTCGGGGATCTCGACCCCTTCCCAAGGACCGGCTGCTCATCCTGAGTCTTTTCATCCTGAGTCGTCATGTGACGGCCCCGTGGCCAAAAAGGCGGCCACCAGAGGCCGAAAACAGAGCCAACAGGCGTCGCGACTGCTGTTGCAAAGCCTGGACTTGGGGGTAAGAGGGAGAGGAAGGGGGGAGAGGGGAGGTGGCTGGGAGGAGGGGGCGGAGGAGAAGGAGGAGGAGGAGGAGGACGAGGAGGAGGAGGAGGCGGAGGAGAAGGAGGAGGAGGCGGAGGAGGAGGAGGAGGAGGAGGAGGAGGCGGGGAGGAGGAGAGGAGAGGAGTGGGGAGTGGGAGGAGGAGGAGGGGAGGGAGGGGGGGAGGAGGAGGAGGAGAGAGGAGAGGAGGAGGAGGAGGAGAAGGGGAGAAGGAGGGGGGGGGAGGAGGAGGGGGAGGGGGGAGGAGGAGGAGGATGAGGAGGCGGAGAGGAGAGGAGAGGAAGGGAGGCGGAGGAGGAGGAGGAGGGAGGAGGAGGAGAAGCGGGGGGCGATAGAGAAGGAAACCGCGGGAGGGAGAGGGAGGGGGGGGGGGGGGAGGGGGTCGCAGAAGCGAGCGCGAACCGCGACTCCGGTAGCCCCTTCCTAGTCCTTTCTTCATCCTCCCTAGCCTTATCATACTTTAGAGAAGGCCCCTCCTCCTCCTCCTCCTCCTCCTCCTCCTCCTCCCCCTCCTCCCCCTCATCCCTGGTGCTCTTTAGCCTTCTCTTCGTGCTCCTATTCGCGCGTCCCTCATCTTGCCTCCCCCTGTTCCTGCTCCTACTTCTTTAGACTCGTCGTCCTCCTTCTCCTCCTCCTCCTCCTCCTCCTCCTCCTCGTAGTCGTCCTTCTTGTGCTCCACCACCCCACCTCGCGTGTCGTGTCAGGCATTTTTGCAAGAGACGGGCCAAGAATGCCAATGAGGGGTGGATGGGTATGAGTCGGAGAAGGAAGAGGAGGAGGAGGAAGAGGAGGAGTGGTCGCCGAGTTTCCCGGTATCCGACCGTTGCTTCCTCTCGGATATTTCTCGCTCCTTCCAAGCGATGAGTCATGGCTTGTGCACCTTTCAGAGGTTTGGCTGGGCCCACCTCAAATTGCTTAAGGTGTTGGCTGTTTAGAGGATGCAGCAGGATTCACATGTTCGTGAATGTCGGGCGTTTAATCGACTTGGCATTGGCCGTTCCGTGGCCCCGCTCCCCCATTCGTGCTCTGAGAAAATGCCAGGGTGCGAGTGTACGGGATACGGCACGTGGCCTGGCTCGTAACAACGGAACCGTTCGCAGGGATTGCCGAGTGCGCTGCACGCTTGCGGCAACTGGTCTGGAAGCACGTTGCGTCCAGTGCGCTCTTCGACCAAACGCCGCAGGAGTAGCACGAGGGGGGTGGCACGGCGGGCGTTGTCCCCCTATGGTAAGTGTGTTTCTTCGATGTGCTATCGGCCACGCCCGAAGCATCAGAGGCGCGTTTCCTCGTCCTCCTTCGCCTCCTCGTGTTCTTCTCATTCTTACCCTCCTCCTACTCCTCCTGGCGGATGGGCATTCTCGGTGGTCTTTCTTTCCAGACACTTGTGGGAATGACTTAGGGGGATGCAGTGAAAATCGGCATGCTCTACTATCCCTTTCCAGGAGGACGCCGAAGAGTAGAAGGAGGGGCAGAGGGAAGGTACATTGTACAGCAGGAGAAGCCAATGGTGCCAGTTGTGGTGATGGTTGTGAGGATGGCGTGTTGATAATGCTCATGTTGACCATGGTGATGATGGTCATGGTGATGATGTCGATGGCGGTGCTGGCCATGATGTTTGTTATGATGGCTGTCCTAATGGCGCCGGCATTGGGTATAGGTGTTGTGCGTCACTCGGGGGCGAACTTTATTGGACGGGTCGCTGTTGTTGGTGATAGGGGGTGACGGTGATGCACCCATCGCCATCGCCGACGACAATGATGCAATGATGGCGTTCTGTGTGCATCAGCTTCCGATAGGGGATCGTCTGGAAAGCGAGAACTTCTCGGCTGCGAGACAACCCAATTCTTGGTGTTTTTCCTCGACCTCGTCCTCACTGCCTTCCTCTTCGTCCTGGGTGTCTCTTCTCCTCACCCCTCCTCGTCCTGCCTCCTCTCTTCCCTTTCTCCCTCCTCCATTCTCTCTTATCCTCCTTCACCTCCTCCCCCTCCCCTTGCTCCTCCCTCTCTCCTCCTTCTCCTCCGTTCTCCCTCTGGGCCGTGGACAACCGATCGCCTGCCGCAGCAAACCGCACCGCGCGGCCACAAGCGGGACGCGGCGAAACCAGGCCAGATGCCTCGAGATCGGGCGTCCCTTAACACTCGGACCCGCACTTCTTCATCCGCCGGCTGCATAGTCTCTTCTGTCCGGCGGCGCTGGCGCTGTGGGGGGGGGGGTGAGGGGGGGGGGGGTGCGGGGGTTCCGCTGGGGGGGGGGGGGGGGGGGGGGGGGGGTGGGGGGGGAGGAGGGGGATGAGAGAGGAGGCGTGGCGGAGGAGGAGAAGGGTGACGGGGAGAAAGCGGAGGAGGATGAGGAGAAGGAGGAAGGGAAAGACGAAGATCGTCGATCATAGGCCCCATCTGCCCTCGGCACTTCCCGGCTCCTTCTCCGCCCCCCTCCTCCCCCACACCTCCCTCCCCCTCATCCTCCCCCACTCTTCTCCTCCTCCGCCGCCTACTCCTCCTCCTCTTCCTTTCCTCCTCCCGCTTGCTCCTCCTCCTCCCTTCCTCCTCCTCCTCCTCCTCCTCCTCTTCCTCCTCCTTCTCGTCCTCCTCCTCATCATCCCCCCTCTCCTCCTCCTCCTCCTCCTCCTCCTCCTCTTCCTCCTCCTCCTCCTCCTCGTTCTCCTCCTCATTCTCATCATTATCATCATCATCACCATCAATATTATTATCATCATCATGATCATCAGCAGCAGCAGCAGCACCTTCATCAGCAGCAGCATCATCACCATCATCATCCGCCTCCTCCTTTTCCTCCACCTGTTCCTCCTGCTCCTCCTCCTCCTCCTCCTTCTCCTCCTCCTTCTCCTCCTCCTTCACCATTTCCTCCCCATCATCATCATCATCACCATCATCAGTATCATCAATATCATCATCATCCTCATCATCATCATCATCATCATCATCATCATCATCATTATCATCCTCATCCTCATCCTCTAGCAGGGCAGCTGCCTGAAGAAGGATGGCACGAGGAGCACGCGCGACTACTTCATCGTCTCGCGCGGCCTGGTAGCACCTACGCTCAAGGCAGAGGTCAAAGAAGGGTACAATACGTCGCCGCACTTGCCCGTCAAGATGAAGGTGCCAGTGCATCACCAGAGCGACAGCATGATCAACGTGCTGTGCAAGCGGATGCCGTGGCCGCTGACGCGGCCAACGGGCTGCCCCTCGCAGCCAGTGCGATGGCCGAAGCCGCTAGCACACAGGAAGTACACGCAGAGCCAGGTCGACGGCTACTGGAGCGAGCTCGGGGAGGCCTACGAGAAGCACCTGAACAGGTACCACAGCTTCGAGGGCGACGGCTGGAGCAAGCGACAGGGCCACTCCGAGAAGGCCAAGTACAAGCAGAAGCCGCGCAGGCCCAAGCCCTGCACCGCGGCCCTGGAGCAGCAGCAGTGGGCCGAGGCAGCCGAGTCGCTCGCGCGGCGGCTGCGCCAGCTGAGGCTTCTGGCCAACGCATGGCAGCAGCGGCGAGACGCGGGCACACTACGGCGAGCCCAGCACAGTGCGGACGGGCTTCTCAGCCACGACATCGTCATGCCGCTGTTCGCCGAGCGGGCCCCTGGACAGACGGCCGGGACAGGCACCGACACGGACGAGGAGGACGGGCTGCTGGAGTCGGAGGACGCCCCTCGGGAGGGGGCGGAAGGGGCAAAGGACCGCCGCGCGGTCGGAGCGCCTCCCCCCGAGGGCCAGCAGGACCCCAACACTTGGAACACGATTCGCTGGCCGCTCATCGTACACACGCTGCGGGACTGGCGCGTCAGCGACATCGACGATCGCGCCCAGAACTACCTGGGTTTCATCGCCACGCTGCTGGACCTCGGGAGCAAGAGATACTGGAAGATGGTGCACCGAGCGGCCGCGGCGCAGTGGCGGCAGTGGGTGACCACGCACGGAGAACGAGGAGCAGGAACGCTGCACAAGTGGACCAAGGCCCCCGCGCCTTGGCAACCGCAGGCAGCGCCAGCTGGAGCCGACAGCGACCAGATGCACGAGCTCACGCACCCCCAGAAGGCCGCCAACGCCGCGCTGCAGGGGTGGGAGGACATCTGGAACGACCCGCTCGAGCCGAGGGCGCCGTGGCTCCAGCCGCCCACGGAGAATGAGTGGGCAGAGGCAAAGCCGCCGCCCATCACCCCGCAGCAGGTGATCGAGGCCTGCGGCCGCTTCAAGACCAAGACGGGGCTAGGGGAGTCGGGATGGCACCCGAGACTCTGGCGCGAAGGAGGAATCCAAGGAGCCGCGAGGGTGGCTAGCACCCTCAACGCCCTGGAGGCGGGCTCGCCCTGGCCGCAAGCGCAGGACACCATTATGTTCTAGTTGCTGGCGAAGGCGTCGGGCGGGCACCGCCACCACGGGCTGATCCCCGAGCTGGCGAGGCTGTGGGAGACCATCCGCATGCCGTGCGCCAGGAGCTGGGAGCAGAGCCACCGCAGGGGCTACGACTGGGCCGCGGAAGGGAGGTCCAGCGAGAGGGCCCCCTGGGAGCAGGCGCTGTTCTACGAGGCCACGGTGGCCCAGGGGCTGGAGTACGCCGTCACGCACTTCGACCTGGTCAAGTGCTTCGAGTACGCCACGCACGAGAAGGTGTGGCAAGCAGGCACGCGTTCGGGATTCAACACGGTGACCCTGAAGATGGCGCTGCGCATCTACTCGATGACGCGGCGCATCGCGCTGGACAACGCATATACGGATGGGGTCGAGGTGGGCGCGCGGCATCGCAGCAGGAAGCCGCCTCGCGCCCCTCTGCTTCAAAATGGTCATCTTCGGGGAGCTGGACGGGGTCATCGCCAACTTCCCGTGGGCCTCGGTCTGCCTCTTTTTCGACGATTTGGCGGTCGCCACGCGGGGCGCGAGGCTGTTTGCGCAGTACTGGCACACGCAGTTGGTGCAGGCGCTCGTGGACATGTTCGAGCGGCTGGACATGAAGGTCTCCGAGGGCGCGTAGGGCAAGACGGTCACCATGGCCTCGACCACCGCGTTGCAGGACGGCCTCGCCAGGCGCGTGCACCCGCTCGGCATCAGGATGGTGCGACACGCCGACCACCTCGGCGCCACCACCGCCGCCGGCAGGAGAAGACGAGTCAGCGCCTTCAGCAACAGGGCCAGCAAGTACGCAGCGCGGCGAGATCGCATCGCCCGCATGCGCCGCGCAGGTGGGCCTGCGCAGGCGATCATCAGACAGGGGAAGGTGCCGTCGGCGATGTACGGGGCGCAGGTCATGGGCATGGCCAACGCCACCCTCGCCTCCCTGCGGCAGAGCGTGGCAACCTCCTTCAGGGGCAACGCCATGGGGAGGTCGTCGCCGCTCACGCTGCTTGCGCAGGGCGCCGACCCCGCCATCCGCGCCAACACGGAGCCGCTGGTCAACTGGGCCATGGCCTGGCAGGAGGTTGCCAACCAGGACGGCCTCCAGGCGCAGCTCCAGAGTGCGTGGAAGAAGTGGGTGCTACGAGAGGGGCGGGCAAGAGCCCCATGGCAGCAGGTGCGAGGGCCCGCAGGGGCCTTCATCGCCACGGTGCAGAGGCTGGGCTGGGAGACGCTCGCGGCGCACAGCAGCGCCATCGGCGAGGAGCACCTGGACCTCAGGGCGCTGCCTCTCAGATACCTGAAGCAGCGCATCAGCGCGGCCACGGAGAATGGCCTCAAGAGCGACTGGCTGCGCATCCACGGCGAGAAGCACGGCCCGGACAGCCTCCTCGTGGAGCCCGTCGCCGCGCTGCTCAAGAGACCGCTGAGCAAGACGTGGACGCTGGAGCACCAGACTCGGGTGCGCAACCTGCGGCGCGGCGGCACCTGGCCGCAGCGACGGCTCTTCGACAAGGGCGCCGCGGAGGACAGCACCTGCAAGCCTGCCACGAGCACGAAGGGACGGACCGCCACAGGACGTTCGCGTGCTCTGCCAGGCAGGAACACCGACGTAGAGTGGGAGGGCACCACATATGCCATCGTGGTGCCATGGCGTGGCCTGGAGCGACGGAGAAGCAGCTGGCGGCCTCCGAAGCGCTCCGGGGGAGAGGGCTCGCAGCGGACCCAGCGCTGGAGTACGACCTCTGGAACTTGCTCTTCTCATCCACCAGCGAGGTGGAGGGCACCTTTGACGGCCTCGTGCACGGCGACATCTACACGGATGGCAGCCTGCTGTACGGGGCATACCCAGCATTGAGGAGAGGCGGCTGGTTCTCCGTGAAGCTCGACAATGAGCACCAGATGGAGTACGCCATGTTCGGGCCGTTGGAAGGGCCGCAGCACGACCAGTCGATCTACAAGAGCGAGCTGATGGCGGCCCCCCAGGTCTTGCGGAGGGCCGCCCCGCCCGTGCGGATCTTCAGCGACTGCCAGCCCGTGCTCGGCGGCTTCGCGAGAGGCCACGAGTGGGCCGCCAGAGCTGACACGACCCACAAAGAGGTCTGGCAGGAATGTTGGCGGCTCGTGAGAGAGAACGGCGGGGTAGGTAGGCAGGGGATCGTCTTTTGCAAAGTCAGAGCTCACGCCGCACGGGCCCAAAGGGCTTTGATAGGGCCCCACCTGTTCATCGGGACTCAACTTGCGGACGCCTACGCTAGGCGCGGGGCTCAACTGCATCAGCACGCGGCCTGTTACAGGGCCGCGTATATTCAGAGGTTCCAGTTGGTTCCTGACGTTCTAACATCCGCCGCGCACGTCGGGGTTCTCGGTCACGGGCTCGAGGACACCTCCGAGGGCCCAGGGCCCTCTTGGCCCAGGGCAGCCCCGCCCCCGCCCCGACGTCCAGTGAGGGAGTTGAGAGCCCCGCGGGCACCCCACCGCCCTCACAGGGCCCGTGGCCCCCCCTCCTTGGCCTCCCAGGGGGCTCGGAGAGATGATCCAGCGGGCCCGAGCCGAAGGCCACCAGACGGTGCGCCTTCAGACAGTAGTATTATGTCGGAAGTGCGCAAGGTACGCCACCAGCCGATGGAGGGGTTTGTTGACCAGCTGTCCAGGGGGGGGATCCTCGGGTCCTAGCTGGGCGTTTAAACCGTTTGTGGCAGGGAAGACACCCCACCACGAATCAGAGCTTCGGGGGCTTCAGATTGCCCAGGACAAGCCTGGGATGAAGGGCGCCTCCGTTTTCGAGCGTAGTCGCCTCGCCCTCGGCCGGTTCAACTATACGTTGCGAGCGAATCCTCATCGAATCCTCCTCCTCCCCCTCCTCCTCCTCCTCCTCCTCCTTCTCAGGGGCAACTCTGGCCCAGGGCGCCGCTCAGCTCCGACCGCGCGCTTGCTCATCGAACCCCATGTGAGCGCCGCGCCCAGGGCAGCGCAGCGGGGCTGGACCGTCTCGGGCCAGAGCCAGCATGAGCACACTCCCATTCCTTTCATGGGCTACGAAGATCATTTTTTCACAACGTGCAGAGCGCCGACCAAGGGCGCCTCGAGGAGATTTCAGAGTACACTGAGACAAGCGACATCGTTGTCTGCATAGGCACTGGAAAAGCAGCACACATCGAGAGCGAGATCACCCAGTGTCAACTACCGCATCATCGAGCAATCCAGTTTGGTTGGAAAAAGAGTAATGTGTCGAATCGCTCGTGCGGGCTTGCCCTCCTGTTCGGAAAGCGTTTGACGGGCACAGTGAATGGCATCCAAGTACCACCCAAGTCACGCGGACTATCGGGCCGACTGGGAGAGGTGCGATTTCATCTGGGAAGCACGAAGTTAGCTATATTCCTGCTATACCTACCTCCAAAGGGAGTCGCGGCGAAGACACTCCAGAACATGGTGAAGGCGGCGCTGAACTGGATCCAGCAGGAGATTGACACGATGGGCAGCAACTGTCTCCCGCTCATCATAGGCGACCTGAACTGCACGTTCAGGGTCAGGATGGACATGACGGGCAGGAAGTACGTCAAGGAGACCGACGAGGCGGGGATCCAGGAGCCCGCCCTAGAGGGAAAGGTATCAGGCATAATCCGAGAATTTCTAACGGAGAACCACATGGCAGTAGCAGACACGTTTTGGAGATCAGGGGCGACTTTCTTCCAGGGCAAGCATCGCAGCAATATTGATTGACCACGTCATCATGCCGCAGATGGCACTTGCTCGCGTCAAGAGACTCAATACGCTTCAAATGCTTGGAAGAAGGCTGCAAAAGTATGGATCGACACATTTACACGATCACGCACCGGTATTGCTGGAAATGGATGTTGGAATTACTAGAGCCTATCAAGCACAGTTTACGCCCCCAGCTAATCGTGATGCGATGATGACAGCATACTCGAACGGATACTGCAGGCGAGGATTCCTCGAGAAGTTCGAAGAAAAGACAAAGACGATTCCAGAAGACCAGTGGCGAGCTACTTGGGACCATGGGGATGTACAAACAGCGTGGAACTTGTTGCCAGCGTGCATTAGAGACAGTATGACCGAGCATTTCCCCAAGCAAAAGAATAACATCATCGACTACGAGCTGTTGCGTGAGCAGAGGATGCAGCTCATTCGTGAGAGAGGAGAACTACGGCAACGATTGCACCTCGCTGGGAGCAAGAGCTTCGAGGGGAAGGGCTCCAGCGAGTTTGACCGCATCGAGCAGCAGTTGAAGAAGCTGTCGCGTCGCATGCAGGAGCTCCGAAGAAAGCAGCAGATCAGGCAGCCTGCGGGACTTTTTCCCGGTGGACGGCAACAACCACGCGGCAGCCAGCGCGGGGTCGGCAGCGGGCGGGAATTATGCGGAGCGCAGCCAGTCAGGGGAGAAGGACCTGGGCAGCCCACACGTCTACGTGGCAGCGGAGTTCCTGGACACCTTGGGCCGAGCCGAGAATCTACCGACACACCTGAAGGAGGACATGGGCAAGCTCAGCATGATCATGGACGTGATCCCGTTCAACGAGCTCGCCGACCTCGTGAGGCTCATGAGGGTGAAGAAAGCCTACTAGGAAAACGGACAACAGGAGCGGTGGAAGTTACATATCATGCTCAACCCGCTCGGCCTCAGCTCGTTCAACAGCCACGCGGAGGACGAGATCAACAAGATCAGGGCGGGCAACACCGAGAGCCCGATCAAGCTGGAACCGCTCAGCATCTCTCAGATCAGGGCCATGATATACGGGGCGATGCAGGCAACAGAGGGCGTGGCGACCGTAGGAGCTCCGCCACCGACCGCGCTCGAGCGGCAGGTGCAGAAGCACGTGCGCCAGAGGCAGAACACGGAGTAGACATTCGAGGATTGAGGCGCCAGGCAGCAGCAGGCAGTGTGAGAGCAACAGAATTACTTTAACGCCTAACTGGCGCTAGGCCACCAGGCAAGCAGAGATGACGGGTTGGGGAGAGGTTGGGAGTGAGGGGGAGGGAGTGTGCGACAATATTTGTAGCGGCTATAAGTATAGAGGCCACGAGATTTTCGGAATCGATTTGACCTCGCCCGAGAGTGGGAGGGACGCGCCAGCGTGCGATAACCTCCCACCCGTTCTGTGCTTTTTGCGTTGGAGGGATTTTCGGTCCAGTGTCGAAGCGGGCCCGTGAGGCTCGATAAGCCATTGGGTCCCGCAGGCATCCCTCTGCCACGCCGAATGAAACAGCCAGCAGACCCAAGCTCGAGCATCAGGCGAGCAGCCTCTGCCCAGTAACGAGACAGAGGCAACCGAACTGCCAAGGCTTCCGACTCCGACTCCTCCTCCTCCTCCTCCGCCTCCGCCTCCGCCTCCTCCTCCTCCTCCTCCTCCTCGTCCTCCTCCTCCTCCTCCTCCTCCTCCTCCTCCTCCTCCTCCTCCCCCCCCCCCTCCCCTTCCCTCCTCCCTTTCCTCCTCCTCTTCCTCCTCCTCCTCCTCCGAAACATTACCCGTGCCTTAAACGACAGCCGTGACAATCCTCATCCCCCTCCACCTCCACCTCCTCCTCCTCCTCCTCCTCCTCTTCCTCATCCCCCTCCTCCTCCTCCTCCTCCTCCTCCTCCTCCTCCTCCTCCTCCTCCTCCGCCTCCTCCTCCACCTTCTCCTCCTCCTCCTCCTCCTTTTCCTCCTCCCCTTCCTCCACCTTCTCCTCCACCTCCTCCTCCTCGTCCTCTTCCTCCTCCTCCTCGTCTTGCTGGGTACCACTGGCCAGTGGAGCATTCACCGTTCCTGTCCGATGTGCGCCCTGGGGCAAGGAAGCTGATGGCACCCAGTCCGGCTCGCCCGCGCTCCAGAAAGAAAGACTGCGCGCGCTGCTGCAGTGCTGCGTGGACAGGAAGGCGCTTTTCCGGGGTATGCCGTACATGCTGGCGTACGCATGTGTGTTGCGAGTACCATCTGAACTGCTGGGGCAGCTCCAGACTGTGATCCTGCGGATCGACGAGGGCAGCACTGTGCATTACGGTCCGATTCGGAGGAAGGGACAGCCGCGGCCGCACTCCACGCTAAAAATTAGCCTGGCGAACGACCCAACCATGTGCAGTTGTGAGTACCGTCTTTGTGAGCAACGAATTCGGTGGGGTTCCCGATAGGGCCACGAGACGCTGCCCTGGGCGCGGGAACCGCATGCGAACACCCCAACTGGGGCCTTCGGTGGAGCTCCCCATGGGGCCACGAAGCGCTGCCCTGGGTAGGGGAGAGCATGCGGGCACCCACACTGGGGCCTTCGGTGGAGCTCCTTATGGGGCCACGAAGCGCTGCCCTGGGTGGGGGAACCGCATGCGGGCACCCCCACTGGGGCCTACGGTGGAGCTCTCCATTGGGCCACGAAACGCTGCCCTGGGTGGGGGAACCGCATGCGGGCACCCCCACTGGGGCCATCGGCGGAGCTCCCTATGGGGACACGAAGCGCTGCCCTGGGTGGGGGAAGCGCATGCGAGAGCAGCCACTGGGGCCTACGGTGGAGCTCTCTATGGGGCCACGAAACGCTGCCCTGGGTAGGGGATCGCATGCGGGCACCCCCGCTGGGGCCATCGGCGGAGCTCCCTATGGGAACACGAAGCGCTGCCGTGGGGGGGGGGGACCCCCCACTGGGGCCATCGGCGGAGCTCCTTATGGGGCCACGAATCGCTGCCCTGGGTGGGGGAACCGCATGCGACCCCCCCCCTCTGGGGCCATCGGTGGAGCTCCTTATGGGGCCACGAAACGCTGCCCTGGGTGGGGGAACCGCATGCGACCCCCCTTCCAATGGGACCATCGGCGGAGGTCCCCATGGGGACACGAAACCCTGCCCTGGGTGGGGGAACCGCATGCGACCCCCCCGACTGGGTTCATCGGCGGAGTTCCCTCTGGGGACACGAAGCGCTGCCCTGGGCGGGGGAACCGCATGCGACCCCCCCCAGTGGGGCACGGTGGAGCTCCCTATAGGGACACGAA